GGACTTTGAGCTTTGTAACTTTGCAGATCTTTTTTATGCTCAAACAGCAACATTACAGACTAACTAAAGTTGAAAAAGTGAAAAAGCATAATAGGACCCCCTTTAAGTAAAGACTGCCTGAGAAAAACGTGCTGTCCCGATTCAGTATCTGCGGTCAGATGAGATGTTGTAAGGCTTAATGTCATTCTCATTATTCTATCATTATTTTTTTTAACTTGTTATGAAATAAAAAGTCTCCCACCTCAGAAAAATGAACTATCCTGTCCTGTCAGACGTTATACTGTGTTTGTAGCACACACTCTTCAATCAGTATATAATTTCACTAAAGCGCAAAAGAAACTACGAGCATGCAACGTGTGAAATAAAAGTACCAATAAATAACATAACCTGTACTTCGTGTGTTAGCTGGGAAGGATTTGCATGAAGGTATGATATATATTTTTTAACCAAATTATATATATATATATATATATATATCATAAAGTGGGTCGCGGCTTGATGACCATGGGAAAATGTGGGTCCCATGGCCAAACTAGTTGAGAAGCACTGCACTACAGTTCAAATGTTTTGGGTTAGTAAGAGTTTTTAATGTTTTTGAATGCAGTCTCTTATGTTCACCAAGACTGAATTCATCAAAACAACTGTTTTCTATTTTAGTATTCCTGTGATGCAAAGCTGAATTTTCAGCAGCCATTACACATGATACTTAAGAAAACATTTTAATATACTAATTTGGTACTCAAGAAACATTTCTTCTTTTTTTACATTTTTTATCAATATTGAAAACAGTTGTGCTGCTTAATACTTTTGTGGAAAACGTGATACTTTTTTCAGTATCGAAAGTTCAAAAATAATAGCATTTAATTTAACTATAAATATTTTGTATCAACATAAAAGATTGTACTGTCACTTCTGATAAATTCGGAATAAATGTATCAGTTTCTAAAAAAAAAAAAAAGCCCCCACACTTCTGTAGTTTATCTCAACAATTGAATTTCATTTCATTTTATAAATGATTTATATGTACAATGTATTCTCCATTTTTTATTAACTCATAAAAACAAACAAACAAAAAAATAATACATTTAGCTTCCTGTCAGCAATGATTATTTACAGGAAAACAGAATGGGAAAATTTAAGAAATTACCAATTCAGATCACTATAAACAAGTAGCAACTCATGTTATCTACACTTTTATCATGTTTACAATTCTTGGGATTATTAGCTTGATTATTATTATTATTATTAGTTTGAATATCTAGCTCTTCTCTTTTTGAATTAAAGGAGGACATTGTCAAGAGGCTGAAATATCCTCTCAACTCAAAGTCAAACTCACGCTTTCAGATTAGTCAAAGTCAAGTATTAGTCAATGTCTTTAATGACAGATGATATGAACAGCCTTCGTATGAGATTATACTGATTATTCTTGAGTTGCTCTTTCTTTCTTTTTTTTTTTCTTTTTCTAATATTTGTTTCACCTCTACCAATATGAAAATGCCAGAAACCTTTAGTAAATCAGGCCCCATGTGTCCAAGATGTAGGACTTTGCAACCCCTCAGGGAGGAGGACTTTTGCATCTCATGTTAAGAGGACAGTAGTACATACGTGTATGTGTCAGTGTGAGGAGCGTGTTTTGCATGAAGTTTTAAGCATCTGTGAGGCCCTTTTTCTTTTGCAGCCTTTCTAGTGTAACTCGCTGTAATTGGGTCAGTGGAGAGTCGGAGCGACCGGTCTCTGGTGCTTTATATTGCCCTCTGAGATCTAAAACTTTCATGAGTCCCCCCACCATGGGAATAGTGCCACCCTCATTGTTATTTATAAATGTATCCATTTTGCTACTACGTGCTTTTTTTCTCTCCCTATAAGTCTAGGTCTCTTCCAGTGCATTAAAGGCACAACTGATGAGGACCAAGTCAGTGAAATATTCAGGTGCGCCATTACACACATCACAGACACACACTTCATAAGGAAGACATCAGTGTGGCTTGAAACAGGAGTTTAGATTCTAATCACACTTGACTTTGACATGTTAGCAGTATGACTGCAGTCGCGTCTCACCAAGTTCAGTTATGATCGGGATGTTTGATCCCGTGGTGATGGATGCCTGCCGCACTAAGCCGTGCACTGGACTGTTATCTGGAGATGACCTATCCATCCCCGGAGGTGTGAAACCTGGAAGAGAAAGAGGAAAACGACTGTCACATTTTACTCTGCTTATGGTGCCAAAACAGATTCAAGGATTGCAATGGTGACCAAACCAGTAGCATAACAGTCAGCCAATACAAATAAGATTTTCTTTGTATAATGCTAAATGTAGAGAACATATTGCAGAGTATGTGGTGTCAGGATACCACACGCTAGTCTAAAACAGTGAAATATAGATCCTCCACTTTTAAGGGTCAGCTCAGGCATATTTAGCATTTGCTGCCTTCCATCAACTAGCAGGTATAAATTGTATATGCTGTTCATTTTGTTACCATAAAACTGGTTAAGTGGATCCTGAAAACCTTTTATGTGAAATGCCATGAAATACAAGCAGGAGTGACAAGAGTATGAATTCACATGACTTGACACTTTTGCATTTCCTCAAGCTGACGATACTTTAAATCAGTAATGCTATATGCATAATGCATTGGCCCTGTTTTGACATCCATCGACTGAGGAAAAATGCAAGGGTATAATTTTTACAGTGACAAACATAATGCAGGGAAAAGATTCAGGTCACAAAGTTTTCAAAGGGCTGCAGGATTCTGAACAGGGGTTGTCCTTTTCAATGGGGAAGTTCAATAGACTAGCTCTCTCTGTAGCTCTAAACAAAAGAATAGACAACAAAGAGAGACTGTTTTAAGACTTTGTTTTAAATGTGCAGAGAATAATCCCATCTCCTGTTTTGTGTATTGTGAGGACATCAGATATGCAGTGACAGTCAGTGTCGACCATGTGGCATACTGAAAAGCATTTTTGCTTCAGCTGATAAATAAGAGCAATTTGATACCAATAAACAAGAGCAAGAGTACTGTTGATTGTACTTTTTTAAAAATAAATACATTGGTATGTTGCACTATAAAGCATCTAAACAATTAAATGACTGCATATACTTGCAAGAATATTATGATATTTACCAGAATTTGCTCATATTCTGTCATAACCAGATTAAGACAATATTCTGATCTCTGGAACCAAATACCTGGTTACAGTGCCAGTATTAAGCAGAATTGTGGGTCAGAATATTAGATACCCACTGAAACTAGTGTTAATTTCATTAACAAAATCAGTTTTTTTTATGGCTAGGAGATGAAAATGTCAGTGACATCATTAAACATTATATGTGACTGTATCAACATACAATATTGTTGACAAAAAAAGGACTAAAATAGATTTAAAAAAATAAAAACTTTACTGGTTACTGAATAAATGGTTACACAATACAAAACCTTTTTTGTTGTTTAAAAAAAAGTCATGAATATAATTTGAAACTATTGGAATTAATATTAGGACTAGTTTCTAGTACTAGTAACTAGTTTTATTGTAACTAGTAACTAGTTTCAGCTTTTGACATTTACCAATTTTAATAATGTATTCATAATGTTTATATTTCTGATAATATAATAAATCAGGACAATCAACAATCTTGATCAGTAATCATAATTTTGATAAAAAATAATTGTGATTATAATTTTGAACCATGAACCATTATGCAGCATGACTAAATTGACTTTCAATTGACTAAAACTAAACTAAAATTCCCAGACTTTTAGTCAACATTGACATTCAATTTAACAAAGGGGAAAAAAAAAAAAATATATATATATATATATATATATACACACTATTATCTAAAGCCTAAGCACATTTCATTTGGTCTCGTGCAACTTTTATTGTTGCACATCGATCACACTCCATGAAGTTATGTGCCCTCCACACAGCTAACATTATTGACTTCTTTTCAGCATGGTTATGAATAAACATTTCTTCAACAGTATGATTAAAAGCTATTATTATCATTCTCCACAGAGGGATGAGCTCTTCCTCAACTCTACACACTGTTCAGCATGAGCCTTTGGGACAATATTGGACACATTTTTTCTGAAAGCTGTCATTTTGAAGTTTTAAATCCATCTTTCTATGCAAAAAGTGGATACTCAATAATGGTTTAAATGTTAATTGTTGTGGGCCAGCTTGTGTGGTGTATGTAATTTACGTAATGAAGAGCAGCTGAGAAAGTGAAGCTGCTGATTTGTACAGTCTGTTTAATGATGATGAATCCTGATGGGCACAAGAGGATTACATGTTTATCTGAATGCATAAACAATCTGTTCGAGTCAATTTGTCGGCAAACAAATCTGCCGCGGTCCAGCAATTGGAGGCAAATACGCAATCTGCACAAAAACGTTAGGGAGGCTTTTTTTCAGAGCTGTAATTACAGGGGAAAGATATAATAGACTTGCTCAGAATTGCATGCATATTCTAATAATGAACATACATATGCATGAAACAGAAATTCTGAAATTTTGTTTCTTATTTAATGTGTGCATAAAGTGTCTAAATGACTGATTTATTGTGTTTCTTAATGCACAAACATATGAAACATCAGTCATGCTTTTATTCTTTAGTAATTGATGTTCTCCCTTGTTTTATCTAATCATTTGTGCAGATAATTGGACCTTGTTGTCTTTGAAAGCACACAGTAAATGATTGGTTTCACAGTCTAAAGCTCTTGAGGAGTATTCTCTATGCACTGAAGTATTCTTGGCCACTCCTTACCTTGGGAATTAGCCTGCAAGACCCCAATGCTGTCATCAAACTGCATAGATTTGATGTTAAGAGTTGCCAAGATGCATTCCTTGTCCTGCAGTGAAGCATCGTCGATATTGTTCTGATTGGCTGACAGGATAACGCACATGTCACAGAGGTTGATGTTGACGGCCCTTAAATCAGCTCGACTTAATGGTGTACCCTTCAGCGGAGAGAGAGAGGAAAGAGGAAGAAAGGGAAAAAACAAATTAAAGACGGCGCAGGAGCTCAGGGAAATTAGTTAACAAGTATTTACTTTTCTAAAGGCAGTGACATTCAGCTGATCTAACTATGTGCTGAGGGAAGAAAAGATGTAGTCTAATCTAAAAGGCTAGCCTTTGCTGACGGCAGCTTTTTGGCTGTGTTTTTCATACACAGTCAAGTCAATGCTAACAAGCACTAAAGCAGGAAGCAAAGCCTGAGATTCACACGGCCAAGTGAAACCTGCTGCCAGAACATCAACACTTGAAATCAAATTGTGGTGGTATTTTTCAATGCAAAAAGCTGGTAATGTCTTACTCCTTGAGTCACATGAATACATAACATTTACAGATACAGTGGGTACGGAAAGTATTCAGACCCCCTTCAATTTTTCACTCTTTCTCCAAGTGTAAAAACTCTATGCTCATTTTCAATGCGTGTACTCACAGGTAAGATGGAGACTTTGGGGAAGTTATGAAGGGTTTCCCACTCTCTTCTCAGATAATCTAATGAGCCCACAAATACGATGGGCTTTAGCTCGTGGTAATGGAAGTTGCTTGCTCTCAAAGGCATCACCAAGTTTCGAAGCCCCACTAAAGCTGACGTGACATCTCCAAATATACAGACTACTACATGTCCACTTAAAACCGTCATGGAGGCCTCGCTGCGTGTCTGTGATGAAAAAGCCAGAAACAAACACAACAGTTACAATCTCATCAGCAAGAATGGAATACAAGCTCATCTATTGCCATCCATACAAAAACAACTTGAACTGCAGGAGTAGTGTATATATTGTTTAAAATGAAAAAGGACAGAAATTGTACATGCTGTATTTAACTGATTGAAATTTAATCACATAATAGCAATAAAGTATAATAGCACCATATGGAATTGTGAGAAAAAGCGCATTAAACAGCAATAATAATTAAAGCGAGGAAACAATATCATTGTAGAAAATGGCAACAGCATTTATGCATGTTCAAGCACATTATCATGAGTAAAAAACATCTGTTTAGGACTTTTACTCGAAATTCAATTCATTTAGTAAAAGCAAATATATACTTACCCACAAAATAATTATCATATTATTATCAAATAATAATCATTATATTCTTACACTTTGGTTCATTGTGCACAAGGCAAATAATACACAACATGAACAAAAAGGTTTGGGATGTTTTTCATTACTTTCATTATAGGGGAAAAATACAATACACTTGCTCAAAATTGCATACCTATTCTAATAATAAGCATAGATATGTAAGTTCACTGTGCACAAAAGACAATAGCAAAATACATTTTACACTTCTCAAACATTTAAAAGTTTACTTGGGTACACTGAGGAGTCAGTAATGTCTGTAAAATTGTGATTCCCATAATGTGATACATGAAAAATTTACAACACTAAAAATTATTCATATTTTATATTTTAAAAAGTATATATATATATATATATATATACAGTAGTCAACATTTAACATTTGAAGTGGATCAAAAACGTTCATCAAAGTTGTCCTAAGACAAGAACAAATTTTGGTTTTAGGTTTTAGGACAACTTTAATGAAAGGTTTTGATCCACTTCAAATGTTGACTACTGTACCCAGCTATGGAGTTTTTGTCTCTGTAGAGAACATTATATTTTAGTGATTTTCTCTGAGACCTCACATGTCACAGTTTTAAGTCTGGATGTCCTGTACAGAGCTGAGAGCACATTCAGGGCTTTTCAGAGATACCAAATATTTGGAAGTTTCTCCATGGTCACTCCCTCTGCTTGGTCTTTAAAAATGGCTGACATTAATTTAGTGATAAAATTGTACATCCTTATGGAAATATGATCATATTTTGTAATTATCATTTAAATCTTATTCATTTTCAAATTGTTTGTCATAAATCAACATCTCAGGAAAATGTTATGGGGTTTCAAAACAAAATATGACTTCCTGTTATGAAACAGGATATTGATTTCATGCATGTCCACTGTAGAGAACACCAGGACTAAAATCATGTTTATTATGCATTTTGGAAGACACAACAAATGAATAGGAAAATAAATTATATATCAATATTCTTATGAAATATTAGATATGATTATGAAAATCTGGCCAATGAATAGGAAAATATCAATATTCTTATGAAATATTAGATATGATTATGAAAATCTGGCCAATTATTACTCCTATTACTCCCATTCTTTTTTCAACATGCTGTCCCAACAGCACATTAACTTCACTTCCAACAACACTTCCCCGCGTTGTTGCTATGATTTATTTAGGGTGATGTATCATAGTGCGATACTGCATGAATATTATAGGATGTTAATAAAAATATGGCATTATGCCACTTACAGTTCTTAAGATTGCACTTAAAGATAGTTAATTTGATAAATTCTGGGGAAAAAATAAAAAAATCTTGTGACAAGGTGGTGCTTGGATGTTCTTGTCTGATCAAAGATAGTACTTAACCTGAAAATTTAGTAAAACACTTTTAAGAGACATTAAAAGTGGGATTAACACTGCAATTAAAAATGTACTGTACCTACCAGAATGACCTTCTCAATTTCTTTGGATGGACACCAGTGAAACATTCCAGTAGAGTCGTATCTTTTCACATTAGCATCCATGTTCTCAATCTGCTCATTTCCCGGAATGAGCAGAGGGTCATGTCTGAAATAGAGCATAAGGAGGAGAAAACGTGTAAGAAGAAAACATGTACGCTTGCCATTATTTGCAAATGCAGGTTAGCAAAAAAAAAAAGTGACAGTGGGAATTTATCTTCTGGGCTTAATTGTGACATTTGTCAAAGGACAAACTTTCGGCACATCTCACCAGACGTCTATTGACAATAAATAAGCAGTAAACAGGCCTGTGCTGACATGGCTTGTCATTGTCAGATTGAATTTGTGCATTGGACTCCTTCATAACGGCAGCTCTCTCCGAGCTGCCAAGAATGCGGAGTCATCAAAGCGTCCGCGCCGGTGACAGCACTGGAGTGGAAGAGATGGAGCCGGAGCACTTCAGTGACTGAGTGGCACCAGAATGGAACACCAATTACCGGCTTTTACTCCGCATCGCTCCTGACGTGATGCGTCCAACGGTAAAAGCTTTAACAGAGCTGCACTTTAAATATTTTAGGAATTTGCCCAATCACATTTTGCTCCCCCAAACTGAAGGCCATTAATGTTTCAGCAGCGTGTCACGTCCAAACAGGCTAACCTATATCAGCGCGTCCTGCAGAAGCTGATCTGTGGGGCATGTAAAGTATAATAGCACCATATGGAATTGTGAGAAAAAGCGCATTAAACAGCAATAATAATTAAAGCGAGGAAACAATATCATTGTAGAAAATGGCAACAGCATTTATGCATGTTCAAGCACATTATCATGAGTAAAAAACATCTGTTTAGGACTTTTACTCGAAATTCAATTCATTTAGTAAAAGCAAATATATACTTACCCACAAAATAATTATCATATTATTATCAAATAATAATCATTATATTCTTACACTTTGGTTCATTGTGCACAAGGCAAATAATACACAACATGAACAAAAAGGTTTGGGATGTTTTTCATTACTTTCATTATAGGGGAAAAATACAATACACTTGCTCAAAATTGCATACCTATTCTAATAATAAGCATAGATATGTAAGTTCACTGTGCACTAAAGACAATAGCAAAATACATTTTACACTTCTCAAACATTTAAAAGTTTACTTGGGTACACTGAGGAGTCAGTAATGTCTGTAAAATTGTGATTCCCATAATGTGATACATGAAAAATTTACAACACTAAAAATTATTCATATTTTATATTTTAAAAAGTATATATATATATATATATATATACAGTAGTCAACATTTAACATTTGAAGTGGATCAAAAACGTTCATCAAAGTTGTCCTAAGACAAGAACAAATTTTGGTTTTAGGTTTTAGGACAACTTTAATGAAAGGTTTTGATCACTTCAAATGTTGACTACTGTACCCAGCTATGGAGTTTTTGTCTCTGTAGAGAACATTATATTTTAGTGATTTTCTCTGAGACCTCACATGTCACAGTTTTAAGTCTGGATGTCCTGTACAGAGCTGAGAGCACATTCAGGGCTTTTCAGAGATACCAAATATTTGGAAGTTTCTCCATGGTCACTCCCTCTGCTTGGTCTTTAAAAATGGCTGACATTAATTTAGTGATAAAATTGTACATCCTTATGGAAATATGATCATATTTTGTAATTATCATTTAAATCTTATTCATTTTCAAATTGTTTGTCATAAATCAACATCTCAGGAAAATGTTATGGGGTTTCAAAACAAAATATGACTTCCTGTTATGAAACAGGATATTGATTTCATGCATGTCCACTGTAGAGAACACCAGGACTAAAATCATGTTTATTATGCATTTTGGAAGACACAACAAATGAATAGGAAAATAAATTATATATCAATATTCTTATGAAATATTAGATATGATTATGAAAATCTGGCCAATTATTACTCCCATTATTACACTTCTTTTTTCAACATGCTGTCCCAACAGCACATTAACTTCACTTCCAACAACACTTCCCCGCGTTGTTGCTATGATTTATTTAGGGTGATGTATCATAGTGCGATACTGCATGAATATTATAGGATGTTAATAAAAATATGGCATTATGCCACTTACAGTTCTTAAGATTGCACTTAAAGATAGTTAATTTGATAAATTCTGGGGAAAAAATAAAAAAATCTTGTGACAAGGTGGTGCTTGGATGTTCTTGTCTGATCAAAGATAGTACTTAACCTGAAAATTTAGTAAAACACTTTTAAGAGACATTAAAAGTGGGATTAACACTGCAATTAAAAATATACTGTACCTACCAGAATGACCTTCTCAATTTCTTTGGATGGACACCAGTGAAACATTCCAGTAGAGTCGTATCTTTTCACATTAGCATCCATGTTCTCAATCTGCTCATTTCCCGGAATGAGCAGAGGGTCATGTCTGAAATAGAGCATAAGGAGGAGAAAACGTGTAAGAAGAAAACATGTACGCTTGCCATTATTTGCAAATGCAGGTTAGCAAAAAAAAAAAGTGACAGTGGGAATTTATCTTCTGGGCTTAATTGTGACATTTGTCAAAGGACAAACTTTCGGCACATCTCACCAGACGTCTATTGACAATAAATAAGCAGTAAACAGGCCTGTGCTGACATGGCTTGTCATTGTCAGATTGAATTTGTGCATTGGACTCCTTCATAACGGCAGCTCTCTCCGGGCTGCCAAGAATGCGGAGTCATCAAAGCGTCCGCACCGGTGACAGCACTGGAGTGGAAGAGATGGAGCCGGAGCACTTCAGTGACTGAGTGGCACCAGAATGGAACACCAATTACCGGCTTTTACTCCGCATCGCTCCTGACGTGATGCGTCCAACGGTAAAAGCTTTAACAGAGCTGCACTTTAAATATTTTAGGAATTTGCCCAATCACATTTTGCTCCCCCAAACTGAAGGCCATTAATGTTTCAGCAGCGTGTCACGTCCAAACAGGCTAACCTATATCAGCGCGTCCTGCAGAAGTTATTGCCTTAGAATTGTCCAATAATTGTGAATTATAAAAAAAAAACAACTAGGGATGTGTGATACATATTAAATATTCACAATATATTTGCAATGATTTAGTTGACTATATAAATTCATTAATATTGCAATGATTTTGAATGTCTAATTGTTTGGCCATCATATTTCCTAACGACCAGTTTGCGATCCCTGTAAAAGCTGTGAAAATTAACATTCAAGCACAAAAAAGGGTGATGTCTCAATAGGCATTGTTTTATTTGCTAAGAAATAATAATTATATACTGTAGTAAAATAAAAATGACTTAAGTGCTGTACAACTACTGGTACAACATACAGTGAATTTCATATACTGATATCATATACTGATATAAAAGTAACAAAAAACTATTATCTTTTTTTTTTTTTTGGCTTAAATATTTTAGGAATTTGCCCAATCACATTTTGCTCCCCCAAACTGAAGGCCATTAATGTTTCAGCAGTGTGTCACGTCCAAACAGGCTAACCTATATCAGCACGTCCTGCAGAAGCTGATCTGTGGGGCATGCTGACCATGAAAGAAGTGTCAGCACTCGGGTACAGCTCGCATTCAACCCCTCTTGAAAGCTTTCTAAACAGCTCAGTAGCAGAACTATACAACTGAAAAACTGAATTCACAAACTAAACGTGATCATTTGATGCCTGTTCTGGGGTTGTTTGGTATGAATAGCAACTCAGAAAATTGTGGAATGTCGTTTTGAGCTTGTTATAGTTATTGCTTGTTTTGAGCTTGTTACAATTTGATTTCTCGGTAGTATTCATTCAATTAAACGGCGTGCGTCATTTAATATGCTCTATACAAGTAAAATAAAAATGACTTAAGTGCTGTACAACTACTGGTACAACATACAGTGAATTTCATATACTGATATCATATACTGATATAAAAGTAACAAAAAACTATTATCTTTTTTTTTTTTTTGGCTGTTGAACCAGAGTCATTTCTATGTGCTACGTGTTTGTATTTTAATAAAGTTATGTCATAATCTGTCTCCCCCAGTGACACTTGAATTAATACTCCACTTTTTCTGATGGCAGTTTTTGAGAGAAACCACAGAACTCTTGTAAATGCAAAAAACTGTCAACTAAAACCCACCGTGCAGCATGTTACCGGGCCAGAGACAGGCCAAAAAGGCTGGCTTTGAGGAAATGGCCTCGGGGCAGACAACAAAGCCCCATCTCTGAGACGTGGCTGCAGGGGAACATGCTCTCTCAGAGTCTGCTCGACCCAGCTATTGTTAATAATATTATCCACAGATTAACAGCCATTTACAAAGGGTTTTTTTTTTAAACCAGTCCTGTCTGATAATGACAGGAGATGATTTTGTTATATAATGTATTAATCATACACATGATTAATACATGAAACAGCTCAGGGAGGGTGGATTTACTGTATAACACTTCTTACAAAGATCTGAAGCTTATGTATAAAAGACGTTCAATAAATTACAGGATTTATCAATGCAATGAATAGCTATTTATTCATTAACATCAGGGTGTATTATTTTATCTTATGCATGTGATGTAATTTAACTGACCATGCCTGTTATGCCTTGTTCTGTAACATGCTGTAATTAACACAACACTAAATGAGGTTTGTAAATTGCATTAGCCCCTTGTTAATCACTCTAATAATGAATGATGGGACCTCTGCTTCAGCTTCCATATTTGCATAACTTCAGATAATATCCTGGAAAGTTAATTTACATCTAAAATAACTGCACTGACATCTGAAGCCAAATTTCAAATTCAACTACTGCATATACAAAATTCAACAATGGATGTGTGGTAGTAAAAAAAGTGCAAATTCTGGTCATATTACAAACCTCATAATTATTGTTTTTCTCTTTTTCTCTCTAACCTTCCTAAGCAGATTAATTCAGTGATACAGTTCTCTGACACACCGTTTCGACTGTGTTTGATTGCTAAAATATCACATCAGAAATGTGTCAATTAGCATGCATGCATGAGATGACATCAGGCTGTGTGCAGGTACTAATAACAGTGAAAGCATTTAGTGCTTTTACACCCCGACTGAATTTTTCATTATGTGGCGTGTGTTTCACCACTCACTCTGCAGACCTCTGTCATTTCAATCTCCCTTCAGTATACTGACTGGTGTAGTGCACCTCTGCCAAGATAACTATCTCTCACCCTGCTGTCAGAGTCGCCTGCCAGTCACAAGCACAATCCACCGGTCCACACCACTCCAGAATAAAATCTGACATTACTCACTGCTGCTAGGAAACCCAACAAATGCATTGTGACTTCCCACAAGTAGATGTGTTGTGTCTCCTTTGAAGCGTTTAAGTGTGATATTGTTATTGCATTATATTTCAGATATTCTAAATAAGCTTTTTTTTAATATATATTTACACAACTGGTCAAAATTTTGGAATTATTACGTTTTTTATATTTATTTATTACAAAAATATCTATATTTTAAATCTATATTTTAAAATGTAATTTATTTCTGTGATGCAAAGCTGAATTTTCAGCAGTCATTACTCCAGTGTTCAGTGTCACATGATCCTTCAGAAAGTTGCTGCTTAATTATTATTGGCACATTTTATTAATAATGGTTATTATTTTGAATGTTGAAAATAGTTTTTGCTGCTTAAAATTTTAGTGGAAATCATGATACATTTTTAGGATTATTTGATGAATAGAAAAAAATCAAACGAACATCATTTATTTGAAATAGATTTTTTGTAACATTATAAATGTCTTTACTGACACTTATGTCCAGTTTAATGAATCCTTGCTGATTTATTTATTTTTTCATTTTACTTAGCCCAAACATTTGAATGGTTGTGCATCACGGTTTCAAAAGCAAACACTGTTTTGAACATTTATAATAAGAAGAAATGCACTAAATCAGCATATTAGAATGATTTCTGAAGGATCATGTGACACTGAAGACTGGAGTAATGACGCTGAAAATTCTGCTTCGACATCATAGGAATAAAATACATTTTAAAATATATTAAAATAGAAAACATGTATTTTAATAATATTATTTTAATGTTATTCTGTAATAATATTTCACAATATTACTGTATTTTTGCCAAATAATCAAATAACTGTAGCCTTGATGACTTGTTTCAAAGTTTTGAACGTTGGTGCACCTTCCACTTGATTTCATTTTTGCAAAGAACCAAGCCAAAAACACTCAGTTTAAACAGACATTTAATCTGAAAACAAAAGGCTTGGAGTACTTTATAGGAAACTACCAGGTACCGTAAGCAAGACAGAAAGTTCTCCATTTAATTGGTATGTCCAGAGGAGCATCCTAGACATGCATTTGGGGAAAGAGAGAGCAAGAGAGAACAGAAGTTGAGAGCCAGGAGAGCTGCTTTTCAAACAGCGTTCAGCTATTCCAGCGCATCACTCGGCAGTCACTGGCTCCCCGAATCCCTCACCAGCAGCCTATGAAAGCAGCTCCTCGCTTTGAAAATTTTCCCTATCATGCAAACTGACAAAGGCATGTTTTTCAAAAACCCACAGCCAATCTGTTGATCATTATTTATTTACGACGGCCTGGAGGCGCAGAAGCCTGTAAAAACCATACTTGATATGGTATACGCTGGCTGTTTTTCCCTTTCCTGCTTGTTGAATAAAGTATCCCTAAGGCTCCCTCAAACAATCGCTTTTCATTGTGCATAAAACACACCTAGTAAAGGCGAGGTATTTAATGTATGATGTAATATATTGACAAGGAGGGCACAGGTTGAAGGAGTCAACGGGTCTGTCTTTGGTAATTTTGATGTTTCGCTGCAGGGCTTTGGCTTGAAAAAGCTTACACCTAGAACAGAGGACCTGTCATCCAGTACCCAAGAGCCAGCTGAACACACAGGCACCCCTAAAGCACAGAAAACTTTGACACCACTTTGAAGCGTTTCAAAACCGGGTAAATAACTCCCAAGAATTATCACTTGTAGATCAAAGAGTCGATGCATACATTACATGGCAAACGGGGACCTTCAAATCTGCTCAGAAAAACAGTTTTGTGCTGTAAGTTAAGGAATAAAAACCAAAGATCCTTCTAAGCAATCGCTGAAAGCTATTTTTTTTTTCATTCCACTCACAGTTTATTGTTTAAAACCGAGAGCGAAAAGAAACAACTGAACATTGATCATTTTCACTTGGAAAGCAGACTAAAGGGCGAGATCCTCTGCAGGGCTGACAGTTTACGGTATGTAAAATTCGACATAATTGCTTCTTTTGGGGGGAGATTCATGTTGGAGACCTCTGTCTGGGGTACTTATTATAAGCTACAGCGAAATGCCTTGTGGGTGGCACACAAATTAAAAATAAATATATTTTTAAATAAAACAAAACAATATTACTTTACATATAAAAATGAAAAGTTAAATAAAACAAAAAATCCCCTATTTTATTTAATTTATAATACAATATTTACAAATTTTTTTAAATATTACATTGAAGAAAAAAATTTAACTACGTGTCATGTAAAAGATTTTAATTAAAAAGTTAAATATTACTATAATCGCAATAATAAGCCTGCATCATAAAATGGCATTATATACTAACTGAAAGAATGTGACTGACTCTGCAGTAAATTACAAAAAAAAAATATCGAAATACAAACATGCATAGAGTCAAGCATGTTGGCTATCACTTGCAGAAAGTTGTCCTGTCCTCTAAACCTTCAGCAACACTTTCTCACTTGACGATGTGCAACGGAGGGCATTGTCTCTGCTATTTTTACAACCTCTGCATAAACGTCTCCTGGTCACATGGGCGAAAAGCAAGTCCTTTTATCAGTCTAAATCAATTAGCAGCATTCTAATTCCACCAGACAGGATAAAGGGAAGGTAATATTTGAATTCATTTTTGATTGCAATGATACGTTTCACATATGGCCTTGAGTACGAAGAACACGCCTCACAGGGGTTCCCACAATAGATGAAGAGCCCTGAGGCTAAGTAACCATGCTGGCATCTCTGATTGGTTGGCACCGTCATTAGTGCCACCGCTGTTTAAGAACTACATGTGGACGGGACTGGGGGGAGATGACAGCTGAGACTTTAAAGCAAGAGTATTTTTCAAACAGCTTTTCATAGCTGCTTTCATGACAGAAATATTTCAGCTCTATCATTAACCGCTGACAGGCTGACAGCTCAAACGCCTCGGCCTGAAAGGCCTGCTCTCCACCCTCCTCCTCTCTCTCTCTCTCCCTCCACACTTTCTTTTTCCTTCTCCATTCCTCCTACTCCCACCATCCCAGAACCATCCATCCTGTCTCTCCCTCTCTTTCCTTTTGAAGGCTGGAGGGAGCGTCTTGAAATCAATGTCTTACCTCATCATTTTGGGTGAGCAGTTGGGTGAATTCCGCATGCCTCCGTTGCGTTGCTTCTTTTTGGGTGACAGTGTTGACGGATGTTCATCTTCGACTGCAAACACATGCAAAGAGTGTCAGACTGTGGACAGCTGGGATTGTAAAGTGTGCTGGAGATGACATATTAAAGAACACAAAAGCCAACACTCAATCAATCATTGCAATAAACACTCAAATCTGTGAAGACCTCCAAAAATAGAAAGAGAACAGTGTTAGTATGGACAAAAGTACACTTAAAGAAGGCAAATACAGACCTGAAGGACAACCATTAAGTTCTACACCCTGTTTTCCACAAATTTTCTTTTCAAAGAGTTGGTTTGAGCGATGTGTGTGTGGATTTATTTCAGTCCATATCAAACTCTCTTTTCTCTCTCTGTCATTGTTTGGAGGGCATGAGCTTGAACAATGACAGAGGGGAAGAAAAAAGAAAAAGAAGAATAATTTGGTGTGTGTTTTTTAATGGATGACTACATGGCAAAATCAATCCTCATCACTCAGAGAGCCGTGAGTGATGGCTCCGCTGTGAGTCTGTCCCCCGTACCACAAGCACTCTCAGCGCTGAATAAGCACCCTGAACTGAGCCTTCTCTTACTGAAACGCCTCTCCAGAAGGACGTTACTGAGGGGCCTGAGTGTTGAGGGCCTGAAGGTTGAGCTGCATCTGAGATGCTATGGATATAGTAAGGTGAAATATTCAAAAACTATAGCTTTGGTTAGTTTACCCTAAAAATATTGTCATCATTTAGTCACTCTCATGTCATTCCAAACCTGTATGACTTACTCGTTTAAGGAACACAACAGGAGAAATTTTAGAAAAATGCGCACGCTTCTGTTTTTCATATGACGACAGCATCAAATTCTGGCCTTCGCATCTAAAGGTGCCATATCAGAATTGAACATGAGCACAAATGAAATTTGTGAGCGATAGAGAAAAACTAAACAACTTAAATTTTATTTATGGTGGTTTAACAGCTTTGGTTACTTTGAAGTGTCACTGTATGGATCAGAAAAGCATTTCTTCAAAATCTCTCCTCTTTTCTTTTTTTTTTGAGAACTGTTCCTTTAAGTTGGGGAGAAAGTGTTCAATATGTTGATAAAAACCATTAAACATTGTCTGTCCTGAAACATTATTTATAATTTCCATTTATACCACAGTACGCGGTTTTTTTTCATGTTATGCATATTATGCATCTTTTTTCTTTTTTTTTGTATTTAAGTATGATACCAGATACTGAACACAACATGGTCTGATTTGTATTACAGAGACAGAAACCCAAACTCTATAACACTGCAGGCTTGCTTTAGTGTGGCTCTGTTAGAAATTTATCAGCACAGCAAAATATTAAAAAATATTTAAACAAAAGATGCTGTCTGTGTCTTTACCAAATGCCAGTGCTTGACATTTGCAATTACACTGTGGAAGGAGCAATGTGAGACAGTAATCAACTTTAAAAATATCACTACTGATAAGATGGCGGTGCAGTGGCCCTTTGTTCCGTGTTATGGTTGTTGAGCGAGTGGCCTGGCTGGGCCGGACCACTCTCTCCTGCCCTTGCTCTTCCAAATTAGGCGGCGGAGATTTACGAGCTACAGTGGTGCCCTTCAGTAAAAGGCTTAACAATGAAATAACTCCACCTGCAACACGGCCATTTCAGCAAGTCTCTGCTTGTTCCAAATTACATTATGGCACTTTTACAACCTCAATCAAAATAGGATCAGCCCACCAAAGTGTGATTGCTGTTCCATACCACGGGCAGCTGTAGCCCTTGTTTTTTTGTGTCTCTGATCAGAACGATTGAGCTAGACATCTGTCTCCTCTTTCTCAGACAGACAATGGGCTGATGCCTGCTTTACTGCACAACAGAGATATAATAGAAATTACTATTTTGTTTCTTTTAATTTATTTGTGCCTTTTCATTTTTTTACTATAATTCTAAACACTTTGTAAAATTTGGGGTGTTCATGACAACTGGCTTAGGTTTAAAAGTCTGAGACCACATTGAAAATCTACTTTAAACCTGGAAATAATATGAAATATTTAAGATATGTAATGAAAAAATACATTGGATTAGTTCTAATAGTCTGAGACCCATTGGAAATCTAATTTAAAACTGGAAATAAACTGAAAAAAGTAAAATTAATATTCAGAAATAAATAAGGTATGTAATTAAATAAATAAATAAATAAAATTATGTAATGACATAATATATATACATATATATGCACACACTCAAAAAAAGATGTAAATAAAAATATTTAATATATGTAATGAAAAAAATGCCTCATCATTTTTAAAAATCATTTTAATTAGTGGCCTTGGAACCCCACTTTATGTGTAGGCTAGCTATACTGGAACTTCTATACTCCTAACGATGGCAGTTTCGGTTACACACATCACACACACACATTTAGTGTTGGGGCAGGGTGTACATTAGCCACTAGCTGCTCTACATGCATGCAGCAGTGACTGCAGGGACCCATGCAGGAGGAAGGGGTTGTCTGCGGCAGCACTGACTAATGCGTCCTAAGGCGCCACCTACAGTATGTCAGGGTGAGCGTGGAAGACAAGGTGCTGGGGCGGTAGCGGTATTTTCCAGGCAGGCTGCAGGCCCGGTTCAGACCAGCCAGGCTGAGTCGTGACTGTGAGGGCGGCGCCAGAGGGAGAAGACTTCCTTTACGGTTATTAACAAGAGGTACGGCAGTCGTGGAGCACTCCACAACCGGCAGCACACTGGGAAGAGTGTTGGGAACAGCAATGCTGTTGGCCAGTTTAATTGAGCGGTTTTGAAAAGTCACTCTAACTTCCTCCTTTACTGTCAAACAGTGCAAGACAAAAGCAATGAGAGATGATTGTGAATTGGGTCAGTGACATATAAGATAAAGAAAAGGAAAAATTAAAAAAAAATCTAGTTTAAAACACACGTACACAAGTTATTAGAAAATTTTCTTTGTATTCATGTTGGTTTCATATGGTTTTGAAAAAGTTTTATACAATTTTTTTAGAAAAGTTTAAATTAAATGACTAAAAATTGCATGCGGTGTAAGTTAAATGTATTAACATTTTCTTTACACCTTTTACAGACAGATCCACAAATCTGTGTGCCATAAAGGCAACCGCTGCATATTTGAATAATTGACGATGACCCCTCAGTTTTATTAAACACTACTTAACCACTTGGCAAGCACTTTAGGTGAAATGTTCAATATGACATGAATTAATTAGAAGCACTTTCTTCCCCGCCTGCTCTGCGACAAGACAGAACAAAGCACGAACATACTATTCCTGATCACCGTCACAATGAATCAGTTCACAGTGCAGGCGGAGATGTGCTCATACAAGGGAACATAGCAATCTCTTTACGTTCTGCCTCAATATACGGCAAAGCCATGTTGAAACAACATCTAAAATGTGTGAAAATACGCGAAAATGTCTTGGATTAAGCTGCGAAAAGGAGCAAAATAACAACAATCTGCAGTCTGACAGACAGGAGTATGCGGTGTGTATATAAGAGACCTAAAGTGTTACACACAGGGAGTTATCAAGCTCACTGCCTGCCATCCCAGCCATAAGACTCCAGCCTAATGCTATCTAAATAAAAGGCAAGAGGTTAACCAATACCTGGTGTAAGTGGAAAAGCAGTTCCCGCCCGCTCCCCAAACCTTGCTCAGACCAATAAATAGATGGTTATTTCTGCCGTCAGCTGCCGCATAGATTTAAAGACCGCCACAGATAACTCCTGGATTCATCTGGCCCCTGTCAAACACGAGTAGCATTATACAGAGAACATCCGCTGTGGCACTTTCACTGTGGATTTACAGTAATCCAGACGGCAACTGTCCCTTTATGAAATGCAAATCCTGTGACGAGCCACAATTGTGCATTCTTGTCAAGGCCATTGTTAAATTATAGAAAATACATCTGTGAGAAAATGCATTTTAAAACTTTATCTAATTTTATGGCTGCTCTACATAAGTCAATTCGGCATGCACACACTTTTGAAAATTTTTAACATTTGAATCACCTTAAATTCTCCTACTTATTAATAATATTAGCATAAGATTTTTTTATTATATCTTTTAAAATTATTTTGCAGTTTAAATCATTTTTTTGTCCTCCAGGTTCATAAATATAACAAAAACCATTTAAAACGGTTTAAAAATAAATTCTCACTTCAACCTATCAATTATGCAAATACATCAGGATACATATGAAATGAAATTTAATAGCAATAAAGCTAAAGCTCTCTCAGCATTAGTTGGTGACTCACTTTCCTAAAACACATTCAGCTGTGAACCGAACCCCAGACTGCCGCTGCGATCCCATTTTCCCTGGAGTTGCAGCGCCATCTGCTGTTGGTGGCCTCACAATACAGAAACATGTGCAATACCTCACAGCATTTCTAGCTCTTCAATCAACCCTTGCAAGGACAGAGATCTCTTTATGCAACATCTGGATTTCATATGGAACCATCTATTCAGCACCTGACCTTTCTCATGCACATGTTTTAAAGTCGAGCAGCCCCTCTGATGCATTTGACCAGAACCCAGTGCTGAGAAACTGTCATCACGGCCCCCCCTTCCCATCAATCCCAAGTAATCTACAGAGAGCTGAGGATGGCAGCTTTTGTGCTGTAATGCTAGTGGGGGGAAAATCAAAAGCAAAGAGCCAAAGCAGGCAGAATGCAAGAATGAATGAGGGAATGAGGAAAACAGAAAAGTACACTTACGTGATCTGACATATCCGTTAAACTTGTATTTGGCTGAGGGGAACGCAGAGACCAATGAGAGGATACGGAGAGGAAGAGAGAGAGAATGAGGGTGAGACAGATAGCAGAACGACAGTATATCACACTCACACAAGAGCAGAGAGGACGAAAAGTCAAGTTAACAGCAGTTAAAGCAAAGAAGTTGATGAAGATAATTATATAAGCAGGAGATGATTAAAGAAACAAAAGAGATGATTGGTGGAGGGACTGGATTTAAATGAAGCGATGAAAATCAAGCTGCCTGTTAAGTGTTTCCACAGCACAGATCCAAAGACCTATGACGAATATACTGCCCAAATCCGACCAACCTCACAAGGATCATTATGGTATTTGGAGTTTGGTTGGAGAAAAGAACGCTTTGATAAGTCAAAATTTGATCCTTGACACTCAATTTGATGAAAACCAGTGAAACTCATTAAACAGACGTTAGCAATCTTGAGGCTTAAGCAAATAGTTAACCAACAAATTACAGATGTTTCCCATCACATAATTGCTTCTGTAAAAATTAACCGCTGGTCATTTTTGATCGGTAATTACTATCATGTCAACTGCAGATGAACGCCAAACTGTAGGCATGGCATGCTGGGAGAATCAAGATTATTATATGCTACAAACTTGTGACAAAGCAAACAACATTAGTCATTAATGTGAACAATACTAGAGATAATATGAATTCATATTTAATATTACAATATTTGAAAAGAACTAATATTGCAGATTTTTTTTAATTAACCAACATATTTCAATATTAAATAATAGTTTAATACATCAATATTTAAAAACACCATTTTCAAAAGAATATTTAAACAATTTAGTTGATCTATTGGTAACTGATTGGGTTGCGCAGCCTAAATGACATAACTTGGAAAATTTGGAAAAATTGAAAAGTCATTTTAGAGAAAAAGAGCAGGCCAATTTGATTAAACGATATGAGGCCAAACTGTTTCTGTCTTTGGAATAATGAGCACCGAATCATTTAAAATAAGACCTGGAATGCATATTAAGCAGGTAAATAGTTTCAATTTTAATTTCATGTTGACTTTAAGTCATATGTTGCATATGAAACTGTATGTATCCGGGTTTGTTGCAGATAATCATAATGCAGGATGTTTTGGATGCATGTAGGCTGCTCTGTACTGCTGCCCCCATCGTTGCAAAGTCTCATCTTTCGTTATGAGTACTGTATCTGATGCCATAAAGGTCACGGCGCAGGCCCAGGGCGGGGCGGTGACACAAGCGCTCAAGCAGGGTCCCCGTGCCGGTCCTGGCATATGTCGCTTGCGATCTGCGGGCCCAGGAAGAGTCGGCCGACTCTCTGGCTAGCATCTGTCCTACACGGTGGAGGGGATGACCGGCCCTGTTCCTGCCTGGTGGTAAGGAACTGTCAGGTTGAGTTTCATGACACACCAGCTAAGCTGGGGAAATGAAAATGCAAACATAATTTTCATGTCAGGCTGCATAAGAGCCGACGGTGCTGAGTTCCACCCTGCAAGGAGTGGACAAGATCCACTCTCTGGGCTGCGCCACCCCGCCCTGCCACGATCGTCACGTCCTCGGCAAACTCCATAACCAACCAGAGCAGGCAGGAGGACAGGAAAAAGAGAAGGAAAAAAAATCCAAAAAGCCGCAACCCCTCTCAGTGTGCCAGGCGACTGTTGTTTACAAAACAGACATGTCTAAGATTGCCCTGCTGGAAACTTCCTTGTGAAGGCTCAAAACAGGAATTAATACCCTTTGTGATGCCGAGCACCTTGAGAGTCTTTAAAGCTCGTGTAATGAGGGGATAAGTCTCGGCAGGTGGAGCGGAGGGACTGTTATTGTCATTGTAACTTAGAGTGGAGGCAGCTAACGCACTCGTTCAGGATATTTGCTCCCTAAAGCCTGCACTTGCAGAGATAACAAACTCTTCTTAATAGTGGGCAGTGCACCAGAGCTATAATGAGTGCTCCATTGCTCCCTACTCCTTGTCAATGTCTCTCTGGGCTTTGACTGCAGCCAAAGGAGCGCAAGAAAGACATAGTGTCGACTTCTCACGCATCTCATTTTCATACTAATAATTATTTGTCTGGCTTTGGCAGACAGGAGCATTACCATCCTAAGTGATGCATGCAGAGAATCAGAACAAAAATTGCACGAGGGCTGTTTGAGAAAGCACCCATCAGGGAACATTACTTTTGTAAGACAGAGTGCATTTACTGCCACGCGTTTCATGCATTCAGCAAAATTACTGCATCCAGGGGAGTATTATTTATTTCAGCAATAACTGGGCTACTATACTGTGCAGGTATAAGACCACCATATCATGCCTAGCACGGGGATGTGATGATATTTATGCTTTCAGACCAATTTGGGGTGTGGGAACACATAATCTGCAATTTAGCGGAGAGTGCCACTAAATTGTCAGTTTAGTTGTGAAAGTTGCAAATTGAATTGATGCAAAAAGTCAGAAAATAGCACAAAAATAAGATAAATAAGGTAGCACTTCTGCCCCACGTGTTTAAAAGAACAAAATCATAATTTTTGGGAAAACTGCCATAAAATAGACATACAAATGGAAGTTGTAGCCACTGAGGAAGCCACAGTGGCTTTTTAAATAAAGGTAATAAATTACTTGCGGTGTGAAACATGTCCACAAAACAAATATAAATGAAAATAAACTATATAGAAAAAATATACATATTAAATATATACACACACCAGTGTTATGTTAGTATTAATGAGATACTATTATATTTTTATTAATATTTTGAATCTTTAGAATTTTCCGATTTCATTTCGGATTTAGCTAATGTTTTAGTAATTTTGTTGTTTGTCATTTTTATTTTGTATTATTAAAAGCATTTCAATTTTAGTTTTTAGTTATTTTAGTACTTCAAGTTAAACTAAATTAAAATGAGAAATGTTGCCTTGCCAACAAGCTGAAATTAACAAAAAAAAGTTTTTACTTTTTTTTTTTTTTTTTCGGTTAACATTTATTTTATGGTTTTAATTTTAGTTTTAGCTAACTGTAATAACCCTGATACACACAAAAACAATGCCAAATTGCAAATATTCAGAACAAGGTCAATAACGTGATGACGTGCTCTGAGAATTTCATCAGAAAATCATTATTGACTGAGCAAAATCAAAGTCAGATGGAGGAACTCTGTGAATTCCTCATCATAGAGCTGTAATGCTAGATCTGAGACGAAACCGATGGGAGAGTCAAAACAAAGCCGCAGCTGGCATTAGCTGTCAGCCTTGGCAAAATGCACTAAATTCAGAAAAAACGGCAGCAGCAAAACCCAACGAAGGATGATGCTACGTGAAGAGATCAGTAACTATGTAATGACCAGTAACTGGTATCCAGGGATGTCACCACAGACCAAAACACAAGACACAAAGTCAACCTCATCATAGGGTTTGATGCTAATCTAAGCTGATGTGGTGAACAGTCAGAAGGCAGTTGTAGAGGAAATGCGATCGCTTGAACTGACCCTTGCTTTTATAGTAGGTCGCACCGCTGCCATTCCTAATTGACAGACGCTTTAGTATTTCACATCTGCTACGGCTTAATAAGAAGACCCCTGTTCGGCGCTGTCCTTTACACAACTAACTGCTTCAGTCATCTGACCTCATCCAATAGCCTGAGTCCCCGCCATCTCAATTGAGTTCCTGTCAGGAGATCTCTTTTTAACTTTCCCATTGAGCCTGACAGTCCCACTGTGGTATACAAGGCATTAAATAAAGCACATTGACTTTTTCTCCCCTGATTGCTGGCTAAGAGAAAATCATCGAGGAAGATCAGATCCTGTGGAAAGGGGGAGAGAGTTTGATGTGTTTTTTCAATTGCACCTAAATGTGGTCTTTACTGAAGGAAGAGGTTTTATTTCAGCCAGTGGAGATGGTGGAGGCATTAATGGCTTGTGGTTGCAAAACATGATTTTCCAAGAATAGCAGAAAAGACATTGCCAGTATATTCTTACACTCTATGAACAGAAGAATCTCACTAAAGATCCCTTTCAATCACAATCTAGCATTTGGCATGCAAATTAAACATGATTTTAGTAAATAATGGACATATATTGTTTGACTTTTTTTTTAATTTACTGATATCCTTCCAATTTTGCTCAGTGAACAAATATAGTCAAAAGGGATCTTGAGCAGTGAGATCGACGTTTGCTTGTTTCTAATGCTTTAAATTGGGCAAGATGGCCCGCAATAACTGAGCACATTCAAAATTCAAAGACCAAAGGATTGTGGGTATCCAGTGTTTGAACCTGGGGGGAAAAGAAACAGTTAGCCATGCATCTTCCTTAATCTGAAGAAGGTCTTCAAAAATCACATGAACATGAAAACATTGTCAAAACATCATTAGTGTCAATGTACACAATTAGCCCATAGATGTTTCGATTAAAAGCACATCATACAGTTATTTAACAGATACATGTACACCCGCCATTTAAAAGTGTAAACACCAAAACAGTGACTGCATAAAGGTCACCAGCACCACACAAGTGCTCCACTAACACAGCATGCGCTAACACAGTCCTACTGCACCTACTGCAGCACTAACACAGAGAAGCCACGTCACTTCAACTACCACCAATTCACCAAACAAAAAAGAATATGTACTAGTGTACCAACCAATACGCCACATATCTGGAAATAATGGAGGAACGAAACACACAGCACATGAAACACGGCACAGACACGCACGCACTTACGTACACGCACACTCACACTCACACTCAAGTCACGGACATCGAACGGCATGTGGTTTGGAGATCAAACTTACAGGCACGTAAACTGGTTGAGCAATCATGAACAGAGACAGAAGAAAGTGGGAAGGCCCTCTGAAGACTGTCCATGTTACTATGTACACTGCCTGACATGCACGAGCAGTCGCGCTCAGAGTGCCCGCAATCAAAACAACATGCCAGTTTCATTCGCTTGTAGACGGACATCTTGGCTACAGTCATGTGTTGGATGAGAGGAGAGGAAAGCAGCAGGTTAATGGCAAGGATCAAAAGAGTTTTTCAACCAGGGAAGTCTGAAGGTAACTTTTTCAAAAACAGAAACAGAAGGTGCAATGCCTTAGCAGCAAGCACTGACAGACTTGACCCGCAGATGGACCACTGCGCTCCTGCTTGAAATATGCTTCTGATTTCGTTCACACTGCAGAAGTGAAGTTCGATCCGAATTAGATTCATACCAAATTGGACTTTGAAACATCTAATAGAGGGCTTGTTTAGGCAGGAAGCAGTCGTCTCATTGGGGTCAAGCCTTGCCCTAAGGCTGATCATGTCATAAAAGGTCAGATATGACAATATGATCAGGGGTTGGGGCAAGGGACATTCAGGCAGAGAGGAATGAGTGAATGTGTTCAGCAGCAAAACCTCTTTGGATAACATCCTCTGTATCTAAAAGAGAGGATCACGTACCTGTATCCCATCATGCAGCAGCAGGTTATCGCCATCACAACGTGCTACAGGCTCTAACGTCGGCGCTCTATTCTGTTTGTCAAACTCTGCTCAATCAGGGATTGGTTGGGATATTTGTGTGGTAACATGCCAATATGCTATTTCTTCGGCCCCTGATTAGAAGATGCTTTCACATGCATTGCGCATTTGATTCAAACATACAGTGCGTGGAGTATATGTATGCATTTTTTTTTTTTTTGGCTCTCAAAGGAGCTGTGGTGAGAGACTATAGCAGCATTCGATTGCTGTGAATCGGACTAAAAACAGTGCTTGGTATGCATTCTCCCGGTGCCACCTCGCTAACGGACCATAATCAAGTCTGGCACCCTCAAAAGAGCAAACAATCCACAGGGAAAAGCTTGCTTTTGACTTCCATCTGAGGTTATGAGCCCGAATTAAGAGGCCAATTTCAGTTGTATGCTGGAAAGATAATACGGTAAATGACTTGGCCTTTAGAGCCATAACCTCAGGGGCTGTTATTCGCATAGAACCATGCAGAATAGCTGAAATTAAGAAGAACAGGCATGCAGTGGGAGGCGACCGTGGTCGTATCTCTTGAAACGGCAGCCCGGTCAACTGTTTACAGGGCTGAAACAGATTAATGCCATGTAAAAACATGCAGCAGCGGGGCTTCTACTTAATTTCATGCTGAAATATGTCGCTTCAGAGTTTGAGGGTTGACATTCATTGGAGTACATAGCATGTGGTTATGTTAGTCAGTGAGACATGGAGGGTGGAAGAGACACAAGACATGATGATGTGAGTGACTGAATGTGACTACACAGAGAGCCTAATTACTGAAGCCTCTTTAACAGGACAACCCAATTTAGCAAGAATGCTCTCAGCACCCCTAACATCTGTCCTCACCCTACAACTTCCCATAATTCAAAGCAGGCTGCATCTTATGTTAAAATACTAATGGACAGGAACATATTTGCAAGCTTTATGTATGCACATAATAGCCTATTTTGAGCTTATTCTTACAAGAAAAGGAGTAATATTAGATACAGTGAAGCCTTGCATGCTTAAAATACTTCAATCAAACACACCTCCATCTGTAAACCAATATAAAGCAAACAACACCATGGCTCCTTGGGGAGACCTACATAAAGAAACCTAGGTGACAAGTAAGAAGACCCTACATTGCACATTGGCTGATAGCAATCTTGCTAAATAGGTTTATGAGGACCTCAGTGTTCCCATTCGGTTCCCATCTAATTTGTTGAACTACAGTGTCATCTAGTGGCCAACGTTGTGTACAGCAAAGGTCAACACCACCATGCGCCTAACGTTGAGAGATGCACCTATCAGTGAGGGCAGTGAGTAAAAAAGGACCCAACTACTGAAAATAATTGAAATGCAGAACATTTCAATTCTGCTGATGGTTGTCGTGCCGTGCAGACAGGCTGGGCAGGGGCCGGGCGTTGGAGACAAAGGCGAGGCTGTAGGCAAGAGGGAGACCAGATTGTTTTGATTGTGTTTTGGAGACGATGCTCGTTAAGCCTAAGGAATTTGAAGAACTTCCCACAGAACTGAAAATACAGCAGCATGCAAAATTGCCTCTGACAGCGAGGGGACAGATTCAAGTGGACTTGACCTCCCCCCTTGGCACTCGTGAAGTCCATGACTAATAGTAGCAAAATCAATCGGTTTGTTTGACTTTTCAGATTGTCATGATCATGAATCTAGCCATTTCGGGTTTCATTGAGTTTCTGGAGGGTCAAACAACCTTTGAAATTAATCTCCGATTTCAGAATGGTGCTGTGAGTAAGTCTTTGGGAGGAATTGTGTTATTGGTCACGGCCTCATTGTTCTCTCCTGTTAAAGACTGGATTGTAGGGGGTCAGGGCTGGGTCATTTTCAGGCCAGTAAATTCTGCTGTATTGTTTTGGGCTGAGGACAGTGGAGAGATGAGGTGTAGGAGGGATGCAGCAGCTAGACTGATACATGCAACATATATATATAGATATAGATATATAGAACTATTATCAGAGTGAGACAGTCAGACAGTCAGACTGTACTCTGGCCACAGGAAACCCGTTTTTACTCACAATATGTCACTACCAGTGAGAGGTTTAAATAAAGAGGCGGTATTCCAAGGCAGCAAGGAAGAAAATACATCAAGAATTATGTCAATGACCATAAAGGGTGAAATAAAAGAACACAAACTTCCATTACAGCAATGGAAACCTCATCTCCTTTACTGTAAGGCTACTGGCCTCTTCTTAGGTGACATTCGGTTTTGGGAGGGTGCATATAATCAAAAACATTTAATTGGGGTGAAAACAAAAGAGAAAAAAATGTATGTATATATATATATATTTTTTTTTTTTT